CGTTATGCTGTTTAGCAGCAGATTCCTGTCCCTTAGCCTGGCATTTATACTCGGGAAGAGGAAAAATCAGAAAGCTTATCAAATGTTCTTCAGACATTTAACTCTTGTGCATAGAGGGTGGATACAGAGAGAGAGAAGGGAGGGCAGATATGGGAAGAACATGTTTGGAAAGGGAAAGAAACTGATCGTATGTAATGACCCCATTCCTGCGTCTGACGCTCCACCTGTTCTTAGCCACAAATACAATTAAATATTTCCTACGTCCTTCTTTCTCCTCTCTGTCTTTATCACACCTTTCCTTACACCCCTTCTCCTTTCCTCCTCTTTTCATCTTGAGTGCGGCTGGGTTCCCCTTGTAACTTGCTGGTTCCTTTGAGTCTCAATGTCAGACACTGGCTATGGGGAGTTCATAACCTTTCACCTTCACTCAGCATTAGGAGAAATCACCTCACCTCCAAGCCTGAGCTTCTGAAACCTGTGTTAATCTACTTTTCATCAGTGGAGGCCTTTTGGCTAAAATAATCCATTTGACCCTAGACCTCCTATTCCCGGGAGTTTGCCCTCTGACCTTCCCACTCTCACTGGAAAAAATTAGTGTGGCTTTGGCTGCGGCCTGTGTTTTGATTGGTTGAAATGAGGCCGATGGCAAGTCAATGAATAATCTTCATTCTCACTCTCAGTAGCGGGGCCTGGCACCCAAGGTCATTTATCCCCCAATGCCAAATTGGCAGCAAACATGCATCAAAGATGGAACCATCCAGCAGACACACTTAAAACCCAAGAAATGTATGTTAATTATCCCCACGGCCCAGAGTCCTGGACTTTTGTAGGCCAGCGCTTCATGAGGTGTAATTCTGGATCCCAGTGACATCAAAGGCGGTGAGTTGAAACTTGGATGAGACAGAATTTCCAAGGGGATACAGCACCCATCTGGCAGGAGGCTAGAGATGGTGTTTTTGCTGTTACAGAATTGATTTTTTTAACAGGCGGGGTAAGTAATTAGTGGAGCAATTTAGTGGAGGTGGTAGATTCTCCATGCTTTAAATCAGGATTGGATGTGTCCTGCTAACAGAGCTCAACCAGGAGTTGGGGGCTTGACACAGGGATCAGGCTAGATGATCAGAATGGTCCCGTCTGGTTTCAAAAGCTCTGAAATGGAATTTCCACATTAGACCCTGGATGTTTGCAGAGGATTGTTGCCCATGGAGATGACATCACTCACAGCCAATCAGAAAGCTCTGTCTATTGGCGCTATGGGGAATTGAAGTATGGGGAGTCGTGTTCATCTGGGCAGTGTGTTCTGGGAGGCAGAGGATGGGGGACCCTTCAAGGGGTTTGTTCAGTGTGTGTGTGCATGTGTGTTGGGCAGCCATCAGCCCGAATGGACGTTAACCAGAACACATTTGGGAGGCTCCTGTTGGTTTTGTGAACCCCTCCCCCAACTCCTCACTCTCTGTCTCTCTCACTACTGCAGCTGGCGCCTGGTTCTCCCTTGGTACACCAGCGGCACATGCAGACCACTGCCCTAGTACCCTACGGAGGCAGTGAGGTTGTGGCCCGGGGGATGAGCTCAGGAGACTGTGCACTTGCTGAAGGTGCAGCGATAGTGTAGGGTGGGAGTGGGTGAATTGTGTTTCTGTGCAAAGTGGGGGAGTGTGTGTCGGGGGTGAGAGCGGTTGTTAGGGGCGGGAGAGTCTGTGTGTGTGTGTGTGCGCGCGCACACAGTTGGTACAGGGACCAGGGCCTGAGGAGCCCAGACCACATGCTCTCAGGGACCCGTTCACGAGGGACCAAGGGCAATGAACAGCAGCAAGACATGGACCAAATGACAGAGCTTGAGGAAGAGGAGAGACCTAACGTGGAGGGCAGATAATCACACTTCTGCCTGCTACAGGGTTTTCACACCTTCCTCTGAAGCATCTAATGCTGCCACTGTCAGAGACGGGCCAGGTCTTGGATCTGATCCACGACGGGCAATTGGTACGTTGCTGTGAGAGAGGAACCCACGAGAGCAGATGAAGGAGTTTAGTGGGAAGAAATGGAAGGCAAAAATGAAGCTCTGAAGCTGTGAGGAAGGGGCAAGAGCGAGAGAGGGAAATTCCTCTCATTCTTTCTGGCTAAGGTAGCGCTCTCCACTTCCAGCGTCTGCTTTTTGTTCAGGTCACATCTCAGGCAGCCCAGGGTCCCTCTGCTGCTCCAAGGAAGAAATAAATGGTTACTCATGGAGCTGTCCCGGCTTCACTCGCCAGAGCCTGAATCACCAGGAAGACGTCATTCAACATTAACGCATTCACCACTGGGGAGTCCAAAAAACACAGCCCGATGGGGGTGGTGTGTTTCTGCTGGCAGAATGGTGGGAGGCCAGTGAGGGGATGTGACTCGTGTGGGGAACCAGGACAGTGAGAAGCAGCAGGAGCAGGAACTGGCTGGCGAATGAACTTTGGGACGACATGGGGCTGGGTGACACTTCTAAAAGAGGGATCCAACTTACTGTTTTTGTTGATGCTTTATGATGATGTTGTTGTTCTGATCCAGTTTGTGACACAGGAGTTTAATTAAGAATCTTGACTGGCTGATGGGAGACCTAGCAGTTACCAATCATTTGGGAAACAATCAAGAATCTGTAGGAGATTGCAGGTTGGGGAGCTGAGGGCTGCACTTGCTACTTGCCAGAAGTCCTGAGGCTGCGCTTACTCAGCAGTAAATGAAGCAGATGGCAGTGACCCTCATCAGAAGGCCGTGTGGTCTGCGAGGCCCTGTGGCCATGTCAAGAGCATAGGACTGGGAGTTGGGACACTTGGTGTCCAACCCCAACCCTGTTACTCTATGACCTTAGGTCAGTCACCCATCCGCGGTACCTCACTTCCCCATCTGTTAAATGGGGATAATGATACTGGTAATCATAAAATAAATGAAAACGATTATCCTTCTCATCAGGGTGGAAGTGCAGCCCATACAGCCGATGATATGAAAGCGTGTGTGAAAGATCCTTGCATTAAACCGTGAATAAGTGCATCCTCGCATATCTTCTGTCACCCGGGCATGATCCAGGTGCTTTTGCAAGTATGGAAATGCCCAGCGGGCAGCACAGATCAGGACGGGGCACTGCATACTAGGACCTGTAGTCTTTGTGGGCCACGTTGCAGTGTTAAGGATGAAGATGGTCATGTTGGAGAATTTCCTGGACCACGTTTCACCTGCTGGCTGCTGTTCAGCTATCACTCGGGGAACCCCATCTTCCAGGGAACCCACACATCTTGCCCTGGATTAGTTGTCTCTTGTGGGTATCTTAGGGGAATGAATTGCCTTTTGATCCCAGAAGAGAGGGGCTCCTTTTAGGCCAGGCTGGTAGTTGTGGCATTGAATTGACTAGGCCTGTGGGAAGGCACATGTATAAAACGGAGTGACCCTCTCCTGCATTTACTCCTGCCTACAAAGTCTGTCTGGTCTAATAGTCTGATGGAGCCGTAAGTCTTTCTGTCAGTGGCTGTTCTGCCCTCCCAGTCACTCTTCTCTGACACTCAGACCTTTTGAAGCTCTGTTGTTCATTCTAAAAATTAAGACCTGGGAGGAGAGGAAGATGGGTGTTCCCTTTCCCACCTGTGCCAGGCAGGCAGCGCCCTCCAGAGGGGCCCTAGCCCAGATTGCAGGCCAGGGATCTTGGGAGGTGGGAGAAAGGGGGACTTGGTGCGAACACCACATATTTTCACTGTTCCCGTGGTAACCAGCCCATTAAGGAGATGCAGATTAAACCTCCACAGCTGGTGCGTGTGTTTCTTCTCTGTAGCCCAAGTTTCCCCTCCCAGCCGGGACGTGCCATGGTGGGAGCTGGAGGCTGTTAGCAGCAGCAGCAGGTGGTTCTGATTTCCTCAGGAATCTGGCTGCTTGGGGCGGGTACAGCCTGGCAGCAAGGCCAGGATGGGTCACTTGGAGAACGGAACCTGATGAGGGATCTCATTAGTCTCTCTGAAAGATCCTATTCAGGAGAGAAACCCCCAAAGAATGTCCAGTGCCCCCCCCCACATCCCCCGCCCTGCGTGGTTTCCTAGGTCAGCCTGATCCACCAGCACCGCCCCCTGTCCTGAGGAGCAGAATTCAGAAATCAGATCCCAGACATTAAGCAGGGCTGACCTGGGGGGTGAGAGGATGGGAGACCTCCAAGGGCAAGGCAGGGGCAGCAGGATGTGCTCACTCAGCGTGGAGCTCTCTCTTCCCTCTGAATCGGTATGAAGTTAGTGCTCCAATGTGTGGCACAAGGAGGGGCTGTGTGATTGGACGGGATGCCTCTCTGTCGCCCGGTGGTCATGAAAGATTCTGTGGCACCTTGTATAAGAGCTGGGAGTGTCCCTGGCGGCCTGAGCAAGTTCCAAGTCAAATAACTATATTCCCTTTCAATCCGGAAACATTCTGCCAGCCTAAAATCCCCCCTGCAGCTTCCACTGGCTATGGGATTCTCTTACGCTCTTTTCCCTAAGCGGCTGCATAGACTGGCTGTGCACAGTTAAACAGCTGCTTGTGTTTGAACCCAGAACTAGCTATGGCGCAATCCTGTCAAGCACTTTGGAATCCGTGGATAAATTACACTGTAAACCAGAAGATCGCAGAAAGGGGTCTTGGGGTCACTGGTGACCCATGAAGCAGAGAGCCTGCTGGTTCTCTGCACAGAGGTGGGCTAGTCACACGATCCTGGCTCCTCCTCCCAGTTTCCAGCTACTGAACTGTATTCAAAGACAACTAAAATACATACAGTACTTCCCTATTGTGACTTTCCCACACTAGCCATTCTTGTAGTTGCCAGGGGGATGTTGTTTGGTCGTAAACATGAGGAGAGCTGGCCTGTGTGATCATTAATGAGATGAGAAGTGTCTGTGAAACTCTCTGTCTGTTTATGCTGCCCCCCCCGCTTCCTCCCCCCTATAAATGATCAGACCCTGTAGAGATATCAGTGTTTGTCCTTCAGTCTAACACCTGCTGCCTTTTTCCTTTACCTCGGTGCACAGCCCCCCACCCACGTACCGGGTGGATGCGGACAAAGGCTTCAACTTCTCCGTGGGTGACGATGCCTTCGTGTGCCAGAAGAAGAATCACTTCCAGGTCACGGTCTACATCGGCATGATCGGAGATCCCAAGTACGTGAAGACTCCTGAGGGCCTGAAGCCCCTCGACTGCTTCTACCTGAAGCTGCATGGAGTGAAGGCAAGTTCTGGGGGGGGAGGGGGAGAACCCCGCAAGAGCTGAAGGCCATTTCAAGGTGCATGTGCGAGCGTGTGTGTCAGTGTCCGTAGGCCCTCAGGCAGTGTGTGTGGCTGTGGGTGTTACAATGTGTATGATCTTGTCAGTCTCTGGGTAGGAATGATGAGCATTATATCACTGTGTACTGTTTGTGGGTGAGTGCGCGTGTGGGTCCATGAGTGGAGCCTGCGTAGGGGTTCCAACATGTGTGATACGAGCATATGTGATCCGGCCTGCGTGTGTGGGAATCACAAGTTTTGCGTGACCAGGACGTTACCTAAAGGAAGGATAGGAGCCTTGTGCCATAGCCCCATCTGCTGGGTGAAGTCTAGTCACGAGAGAACAGGCAGTAAAGAGGGTTCCCCTGGGCAATCTCTTAGGGCTCTGTATGTGTGTATGTACATCAGTGCCTGTACATTTGAGTCTGTGTGTGAGGAGCAGGGATCAGGCAGTCTGGCCCCGTCGGTGCAGGAAACTCCTGCCCTCTCTTACAGCTGGAGAAGAGGAGGGGAGGTACAGGCAATGGTAAGGGAACAAAGTAAATCTGGCCTTTTCTGAGCAGGGGTTATGGTGCCCGTGAGACAAATTCCCAGGGGGTAATTATGGGTGCCCAGACGCTGGGGTGATTGGCACTGTTGATGTACTGTGGGTAAGTGGCCGGATAGATTGTCCTTGGGACAGTTGTGGCTTGGGAAAAGGTGCTGAGAGAGGAGAAAGCCATGCTGTTCCACTCTCTGTAATGTTCCTGGATCTTTCCCTTCAGTTAGAGGCCTTGAACCAATCGATCAACATAGAGCAGTCACAGTCTGACCGCAGCAAACGGCCCTTCAACCCTGTCACGTGAGTACTGCCCAGGACGTGGCGGCCTGAATGTGGGGACCCTGTCACAGGAGAGCCACCCAAGGAGGGGGGAGATTGAGGGATCCTGGTATGAGGACCCCTGAGGGTAGGAGGACAGAGTAGGGCGAGGGGGTACTACGGGGAGCTAGCATGGAGGGCTCAGGCGGGTAGTGTATCTAAAGTGTTCTCTCTCTCTGTCTCCTTCACTTCCCAAAACAATGACTCCTCTCCCCTCCACGCCCAGAGCTCAACTAACCTGTGGTGGGTCCCCCTGATTCCCAGAGCCTGATCTGAGGCATTTTGGCAGCACCCTCTGAAGTGAGGGAGAGGTGGGAGTTCCCTAGATGATTGCAACTGGGGGCTGATCTTCCCACATGAGGGGAAATGGCCGTTTTCTGTGCGACCTCCTTTCCAGCTCTGTGTCCTCAGTGGCTCCTCTGCTTCCCCCTCCAGGGTCAACCTGCCTCCGGAGCAGGTCACGAAGGTCACCGTGGGGCGGCTGCATTTCAGCGAGACCACGGCTAATAACATGAGGAAGAAGGGCAAGCCCAACCCTGACCAGAGGTATGGAGTAGCATGGTTCCCTCTGAGCCTGCAACGGGGGTTTGGCGGGGCTGCGTACGTGGGACTCAGGGAGGCCAAACTGGGGAGCAGACTGCTGCAGAGCTGCCCCTGCTGGCCGGGAGCACTGCTGCTTCATGCAGGCGGCCATGACAGACAGAACGGAAAGGGGGTATGGGGATGGGTGCTGAGGAGCTGTCCTGCCAGACACTAAATGCGCTGGCTGAAGCGTTTGTAGGGAGAGCCCCAGGGCAAGCATCCATGACCATCTGAAAGCTGGGCCTGGGGCTCCAACAGCGCTGCGGCCCCTGGCACCGTGCTGAGGAGCTGGCTCAGTACCGACATGGAGTGAAGAGCGAACTCTACTCAGTCGCTAGCACCAGTCACCGTGATAACCTGGGTTTCTTTTCCAACCTCCGGTCTAAGTACCGAGCTGAGCCCAGCCCTGCTTAGCTTGTGAGCACCGATAGGACCCTCACCTGGGCAGGTCCCGCTGCAGGCCTTGGAGGAGACCAGATTTGTAGACATGGCTACAGTAGAGGAGTGCTGCCATGGGGGCAGCGGATGTTTGGAGACCTGAGTGCTGGCGGGATCAGACAGTGCCCGTGAGAGGTGTGTCCCTGTCTGGGGGAAGTGTAGGAATTCCAGCTGTGCCCGCTGTGGCATGGGGACTTCCCTGTCTCTGTGAGGGGAGGCAATATCCGCCATGTCCTGCGCCCCCGCAGGGATGCGCTCCTCTCCTGCTGCAGATGACCCTTGTGGGTGTCTGTCATTTGCAGGTACTTCATGCTCGTGGTGGCCCTCCAGGCCCATGCCCAGAACCAGACCTACACCCTGGCTGCCCACATCTCTGAGCGCATCATCGTCAGAGTAAGTTTTTCTCCTGACTCACAGAACACCCCTATCCTCCCTCCGCCTCTCAGGGGCTCCACTGCCCTTTGCTTGACTGTTTGGGGCTCCTTGCCCCCTTCTCCTGGCTTTTCAGTTCCCCCACCAACCCTTTGCCTGGCTCTTCAAGACCCCTGCTGCCCTTCCCCCCGTTCTCTGCCTGGCTTTCTGGGACCCCGCTCCCAACCCTTCCCGCACTTTATGAAGAAGGCAGCCCACGTGTTCCTGCAGGAGCCCAGCACAGAGAGACACGGACAGAGAAGAAGGCACGTTCTCCAGGAGGGGAGTGCAAGGCTGGGGATGTGTTGCCCGGGAAGGGGCTATGGGGAGTGAGGGAATGGTGCTGTCTTGGGACCTTCAGTGGGTGTCCTGGCTGAATTTTCCAGATGCCTGAGGGGCAGCAGTGCTGAAGGCTGTAGTCAAGGCCAGGCAGGAAAGAGACCGGATTCCCCTGACAGGTTCTCCCAGCATTCAGCTAGTTGAGCTCTTGTCTCCCAGGGGGAATCTAAGGAACGTAGCTCGGTTCTGGCCCCGTGTGGCTGCTCAGAAGCAGTGAGAGTCAGGCTGTGACGTTGTGATTGGCTGTCTCTGCCTTTTAAGTGCTTTGTCCGTTTCCTCTAGCAAAGGGCCAGTTCGGGGGTAAAACACAAACGGAGGGCGGACGGGGACCCCGGAGTCTGCAGACAAGTAAGTACATTACAAGCTATGCAGCCTCCGGGGGGCTCCACAACAGAGCTGTGGGAAAAGCAGACAGGCTGGACCACACAGACTCAACCCCCTGAGCAGGGCACAGCTGCAGCCGTGGCCTAGCCAGTGTGGAGATAAGATACAGCCCAGTAGCTCTCTGTGAGAGACCCCACAGCAGCACCTTGCGGGATTCAGTATGATCCTTGCTCCAGGTTGAGAGAGTTGGCACATCCTGGTAGCCCCCTGCTCTCATGCAGTCCCAGTCCTAGCAGTGCTGGCCTCTGGGGAGATGAGTCTGTGTGGTCCTCGTTTTGGGCAGGGAATTTGCATCAGCACAATTCCAGGGGTTCAGGTAGTGTAAGGCTCAGGAAATGGGAGAAGAAAGGTGTGGACGCAGATGCTGTGTTTAGTCTGATTCTATTGGCCGGTGCCTGCTGAGAGAGTCTCAATCAGAGAGCAGAGAACACCCCACTGCAGGGCTGTTTCCTCACAAAGTGCAGGCAGGGCTTTGTTGCCACAGGCATGGGGAGCAAAGTCCTCACCCCTCCTTGGCCCCCACAGAACCCCTGTCTCCTGCTCCTCTGTCTGGTTTTGTTGCATTGCTTCATACTGCGCAGAGCTCTGCATCACGCCCACAATGACCCCGGGGCCATGTGTGTCCTCTGCTAGCCGTGCTGCCCTGCACTGGGAGGGGAGAGGAGGGGGAGTCCAGGCGGGTTGCTCCCCTAGCAGCCTCCTGGGGAGCTGGTACTGCTGGCTTTCGAGCTCTGCGGTCACAACCTGATAACAATTCAAGTACCTACGCCTGAGCTTTTCCATCGGAGGCTGGACAGGGAGCCTCTTAGGGTGTGTCTGCACTGCAATAAACACCCCGCAGCCTGGCCACGACTGGCTGGGGCAGCAGGTTCACACTGTGGGGCTGTAAAATTGCAGTGTAGAGATTCGGGCTCAGGCTGAAGCCTGTGCTCTGAGACCCCGCAGTGGGGGAGGGTCTCAGAGCCCAGGCTCCAGCCAGAACCCAAACATCTACATTGCAATTTTACAGCCCCACGAGCCTGAGTCATCTGACCTGAGCCCTGAGTCTGGGGCTGTGGATATTTTATCACAGGCGTATCCTGACATTGCTGGGTCTGCAGACACTTGCCAGTTAAACCCAACATGGTTCCTTGTCCTTCCCAGGCTGCCCTGGGCTCCCAAAGGTTCCATCCCACCTCACATACAAGGTAACCTTAGAATAAGGGCGCAGCCTGGCTGCGCAGTTCAGTCTTGACGCGGGCTCCATGGCTGCTCCTTAAGCCAGTTTACCACGTTTCCCCATCCCTGCTGGTGACGGGAAGCCCGGGCTAGATTGCAGACGCCATGAACCATGGCAGGCAGCCATGATAGCTCTGGGGTCTTCTCATCACATAGGAGTGTAACCCTCTGTGTGGGGGCATCCATGCACCATCCATCCCAGCTGCACATGGCACCCTGGCCCTCTGGTGCGTGTTTCAGGGGGATGAGTCTGTTGAAGCCCCAGTGCTCACGCTGTCTCTGCCTAACAGCACTGGCCCCTCTTCTCTTTGGTTTCGTCTCTGCTGCTGCTCTGGACGCTCTTCAGTCGCTGCCCTCTTGCCTCTCCACAGGCCTCTAACCCGGGTCAGTTTGAGAGTGACAGTGACGTCCTCTGGCAGCGGGCTCAGCTCCCTGACACGGTTTTTCACCATGGCCGAGTTGGCATCAACACCGACCGCCCCGATGAAGCCCTGGTGGTCCATGGCAACGTGAAAGTCATGGGATCGCTGATGCACCCGTCAGACATCCGAGCAAAAGACGACATCCAGGAGGTGAGAGCTGGAGAAGGCTGGCAGGACACAGGAGGCCAATCTGAGTGGGGTGGCGAGGCTGGAGAGGCACCTAAATCAGTTTCTGTACCAAATGACTGGAGGATAGCTAATATGATGCCAATTTTTTTTAAAAGGGCTCCAGAGGTGATCCTGGCAATTACAGGCCAGTAAGCCTGACCTCAGTACCGTGCAAACTGGTTGAAACTATAGTAAATAACAGAGTTGTCAGACATATAGATGATCGTAATTTGTTGGGGAAAAGTCAACATGGTGTTTGGTGAGGCATGATTTCCCTTTACAATCTACTAGAATTCTTTAAGGGGGTCAACAAGCATGTGGACAAGGGGGATCCAGTGGATATAGTGTACTTAGATTTTCAAAAAGCCTTTGACAAGGTCCCTCACCGAAGGCTCTTAAGCAAAGTAAGCTGCCACAGGATAAGAGGGAAGGTGCTTTCATGGATTGGTAACTAGTTAAAAGATAGGAAACAAAGGGTAGGAATAAATGGTCAGTTTTCAGACTGGAAAGAGGTAAATAGTGGTGTCCCCCAGGGATCTATACTGCGGCCAGTCCTATTCATCATATTCATAAATGATCTGGAAAAAGGGCTAAACAGTGAGGTGGCAAAATTTGCAGATGACACAATATTACTAAAGGTAGTTAAGACCCAGGCAGATTGCGAAGAGCTACAAAAGGATCTCTCAAAACTGGCTGACTGGGCAACTAAATGGCAAATTAAATTCAATTTTGATAAATGCAGAGTAATGCACATTGGAAAACATAATCCCAACTATAGATATAAAATGATGGGGTCTAAATTGGCTGTTACCACTCAAGAAAGAGATCTTGGAGTCATTGTGTATAGTTCTCTGAAAACATCTACTGAATGTGCAGCGGCAGTCCAAAAAGTGAACAGAATGTTGGGAATCATTAAGAAAGGGATAGATAATAAGACAGAAAATATCATAATGCCTATATAAATCCATGGTATGCCCACATCTTGAATATTGCGTGCAGATGTGGTCGCTCCACTACAAAAAAGATATATTGAAATTGGAAAAGGTTCAGAAAAGGGCAACAAAATTTTTTAGGGGTATAGAATGGCTGCCATATGAGGAGCTATTATTAAGACTGGGAGTCTTCATCTTGGAAAAGAGACAACTAAGGGGGGATATGATAGAGGTCTATAAAATCATGACGGCTGTGGAGAAAGTAAATAAGGACGTGTTATTTACTCTGTCTCATAACAAGAACTAGGGGTCACCAAATGAAATTAATAGGCAGCAGGCTTAAAACAAACAAAAGGAAGAATTTTTTCACACAACACACAGTCAACCTGTGGAACTCCTTGCCAGAGGATGTTGTGAAGGCCAAGACTATAACAGGATTCAAAAAAGAACTAGATAAGTTCATGGAGGATAGGTCCATCAATGGCTATTAGCCGGGATGGGCAGGGATGGTGTCCCTAGCTTCTGTTTGGCAGAAGCTGGGAATGGGTGACAGGGGATGGATCACTTGATGATTACCTGTTCTGTTCATTCCCTCTGGGGCACTGGGCATTGGCCACTGTTGGAAGACAGGATACTGGGCTAGATGGACCCTTGGTCTGACCCAGCAGGGCCATTTTTATGTTCTAAAAGTTCGCGTGTTCATATGAGCATGCTCCATCTGCACAGCTTAGCTGGAGAGCCCTTGAGTACAGGAGAGCGTGTGAGCTGCCTCATACCCCGCAAGCTGGAAATCCCATGAGAACAGAACAGCCTCCCTCCCAGGCACAGCCTGTCTCATGGAATTTCAGCTCTTCTTCTAGCTGGAACCAGAAAGTGCCGAACAACAAACGTGAAAACCACCAAAGACGTCAAGCCAAACTTTATCCAGCCTCAGATCAGAGCCAATCAGAGCCCTGTGGGAAGGCCCTGGCAGGTTCTTAATTTAAGTGATCTGGATAATCTCTTCCAGCAAAGTCAAATG